AATAACGAAACTATTTAATATTATAGTATTTCAATAATATTATAATATTGTATATAACCTACTATATATAAATAATGGTTCATTTAAAGCTATATATTTTATAAACACTTACAGCACAATCGGTCATTCCAATCCTGTCTTCTGCAGTTTACTAACCATTTTTTCCGTCTATCCGGATCAGCAGGGAACCTATGACAATTAATTTAGATAAATGATGAAGGCTACGTTTTAATCAACCAACCAAAAGATTATATTTATGATACATTTGTAATATATTACCATTATGAACTAAAAAGAATATTTTAGGTTATAATTATTTTTTTAAGTTTTATACTTAGACTTTTTCTATCTTCAAAATACGTACCTATGAAATTTAAAACCATTTCTTGAATGATTATTGCAGTTAGGAGCTGAACAACCAGTCATATTGTCTAATTTAATATAAAACACGATAGCACCATTCACAGAACATACCCCCTAGGGGGGATATTTTGTGGCACCATTCACAAATAAATGAGAAATGTCAAAAATTGGGCTCCACAATGGCGGACGAGTCTGCTACCTTTTATAGTGCTGTAGTAGTCATTGTAGACCACAAAATATCCCCCCTACATACCCCAGGGGGTATGTTCTGTGTTGTAGACGTCAGACACAGCTGTCAGCTGTTAGTTGTTATTGATAGGGAAAACATCGGCAAATAAACAGTTATCTCTATTAAAATAATGTGTAGACCAAAGTAATTAGAATGTAAACGGCCAGTGTGGCGATTTCATTGTCCGAATCTCTGAACATCCGAGAGCATCACTTGAAGATGGCTTCAATAAACACAACTCCATTGCTACAAGAAGTAGACTCTGAAATTGAGGACAGTGATATTCATGAAAGCTTAGCTGTACGCGACAACAAGCCGTTGTTTAAGCCAATTGAGCCTCGGGATAAGTTCTACACAGTTTTCGTCATATTTTACATCTTAGGTGTTGTCACTCTACTCCCATGGAACTTCTATGTTACAGCCAATGATGTGAGTACTTAGTAGCTCAGGCCAGTTAGGTCTTACCAACCTTGGTTTTTCTAGTACTGGATGTATAAATTCAGAGACACACGCATTCATAACAACTCCGTGACTGGAAGCCAACTCATGAATAAAACTACCCTACAAGCTGAGTTCACCTCGTATGTTACAGTTGCTTCTGCTGTTCCCAGCTTGTTGTTCTTGATAGTCAATATTACAATTAGCCAGAAGTAAGTAAAATGATACTCATTGAAGCCCGTGCTGAAGACTAAAACTTTCTCATAGGGTTCGTAAAGTTTATCGGTCAATAGATAGGATGTCGAAACACTATTTTTCCTGGGCCAACGTTGCGGGTATATTTCAGACATTTTCAGCGCTCTGAAACGGAAAACAGATGCATAGTTGCGGACGTAGTTATGTGAACAACTGCATAAAGAACGGAGTTTTTGGCCTCACGTGCCAGATATTTTGTAGAAGACTCTTGAAGTTTCCAAAGGCTTTCATCAAAAATTAACATTCACTATTGAATCAGGAAATGAAAATAAACTACCTACTATTTTTAGAAACTATAATCATTAGAGAGAACACTACACTTTTAATTGTTAAGTGTAAATCACTTCATCAATCGTAGTGTGGCACTATCCAGTCCACAGTTTCAAGATAAAAATATTGACCTGATAAGAAAGTACTTATTAAATAGCAATTACCCACTGCCCCTTGTAAGCAAAAGTCTAAATTTGTACAACAGAGAATAACTCAACAAAAACCACATTAACTTATCACTCAATCATCAAATATGCTCATTTTCTGCCTCAATGTATTGACCGATAAACCCAAGAACCTAAAAGAGTAGAAACTTTTACCTCTTGCCATCACGATCACTAATAAACCACAATATCAATTTCTTATAGAGTATCGGCCAATAAACGCATCTTAGGATCGCTTTTCGGTATGTTAACATTGATGTTGGCCACTCTTGTTTTCGTAGTAATTGACACAGATGAATGTAAGTGTTCAGAATTAGAAATTCTGAGAAATCTAATGCGGATTTCTTGCAGGGCAGTATCTATTTTTCATGATCACTTTGGTTATAATCGTCCTCTTAAACGGTAAAGTTGAGTTTTTTTTTTTAAGCTTCCTCTGCAATTACCAAATGTTTTAGTATGCAGCGCAATTCTATCGGGAAGCGTGTTTGGAATTGTCGGAAATTTTTCCCCAGTTTATATAACAGCTACCATAGGAGGACAAGCGTTGGGTGGGATTTTTGCAGCTTTGGCCGAAATAGTTTCTTTGGCAATAGGCGCTTCGTCCACTCATAGCGCTTTTGTGTATTTTATCATCGGCAACCTGACTATAGCCGGCTCGATAGCTTTGTTCGTCGTTCTCACTAAAACTCTCTTTTACAAGGTGACAACAGCTTTATTCCAATATCTCTATACACACTAAAACTGTGGATTTTAGTATCACATAGAGGACAAGTTTCTTAATATTTCGGACTTTGGAACCACTTCAAGCGCCCAACTGGTTTGCCATAAAGTGGTTTTCAGGAAAACCTGGATTTATGGCTTATCCATGTTTTTTGTCTTTGCCATTACCTTAAGCATCTATCCGGGGGTTACTGTACTTATAGAATCTGAGGGCAGGGGCAGTGGGAGCAAATGGAATGGTAATCTTGGCAAGTTTGGTAGACATAGCATAACAAACTGTGGTTTTAGACGTATTTTTCATTCCAACAATCACCTATCTGCTCTTCAGCATCGGAGATTATCTAGGTAGAATAGCAGCTGGAAGAATCCAGAAGGTGACGCCCCAATTCACGTCTAGCGCAAAACTAACCAGGTATTTTTCAGCCAAACAAGGAGAGCGTAGTGCTTCTCTTGAGTCTTGCCAGATTTGTGTTCATTCCTCTTTTCATGTTGTGCAACGCACAACCCCGATACTATTGGGGGGTAGTTTTCAACAAGGATTACCAGTACATTATCATTCTTTTCATGTGCGCAATCAGCAACGGGTATTTAGCAAATATTGCAGCAATTTTAGCCCCAAGGTGAGACTACTTTGACGCATATACCTTGTTGTATCCGCTCGGCAATAATAGATTTTCTTCCAGAAAAGTCGATGACTTTGAAAAAGAAGCTGCGTCGTTAATGACTACAGTTTTTATGGGCGTAGGACTCGCTTTCGGGTCCATTATCAGCTTAGTGATGGTTAAGTTACTATAATTGGAAAACATACATATCGAGAATAATCCACACTTTTAAACTTTACAAAGCTTCTTGACCTGATTGAGTTGACTAATAAAATAGTTTTATTTAATTTAAACGCATTGAATGTGATACCTTCTGTAGCCACCGGTAAATTGGTCCATTTGGGAAAAGGTTGTATTAATTATATGAAAAAATCGGCCTTGAGGCTCTCTTATTTGTATAGTAGCTGGAGACGACTTTTTATTTATGTATATTTATTTGATACTGTTAGGCACAGATTTAATAAAGAATCTCAAAAATTATCTAAATCGGACTTAGATAAGCTCTCTAAAAAATCCTATTTCAGCAACACAAAACTTAAAAACGCAGAGCATCAAAACTTGATTAAAGCCTTGCAAGTGTGCATCTTATTCTGATGGGAAACTGAAACTATTTGAAAATATCTTTGTTTTTAGTGAGCCTCAAAATGGTAGTTTTGGCTTCTGCTTCTGTGGACAAATCGTTAACTTTTCAAAATGTATAGTTCTGTTCTTCAGAGGACCTTGATTTGGAAATTCGAGCCTGAGCCCTGCCTAAAATCGGCCTTTTTCAGTTTCAATTGAAGCTGCAAACAAGTTTTTAGCTTGTATTGAAAGTACAACTGAAAAAATCCTTTGGATCATTTGCGTTCTGTTTACCACTGAACTTTGAACGTTTCTGCAATCTGTGAGTTGATTAATTATTTTGAAATTTTGACGATTTTTTATAGACAGACAAGCCTGAAAATGGCACGTTTTTGCCTACTTCTGTTCAGAAATTATGTTGTTGATGGAACTTTTTACACAGTTTATAAACGAACCTTTCTGTTTCTGCGAGCCGACTGTAACTTTCTGTAGTCTGTTTTGGATGCTTAAATCTATGGAAATTGTGACGATTTATTGCCGGGGATTGTGGGAAATTGTTCATTTTTGAAACTCTAGTTTATGGATTTTCCGTTTACAAGCAAGCCTTGACTTTATAATTTTCTGCAGGCTGTTTCAGGCACTTAAATCCATTGCTCATTTGTTTCATAAGAAGTCCTGAGTCGAGTCTTAAAATAGCACGCTCCTACCTACTTCTGTTCAGAAATTGTGCATTTTTGATATTATCTTCTTTAGAACTCTCGTTTATAAACAAACCATGACTTCGTAATTGCCTGTAGTTTGTTTCCAGTGCTTAAATTGATTAAAATTGTGACGATTTGTTGTTTATGTGGTACTAAGTCGACCCTGAAAGCTAAACTGAACTTTAGGATTTCTGTTCCTTCAGCTGTTTTCGCGTTGGAAATATCTGCAGCTGGTTTATATTAATTAATGCTATTTCAAATATTTGCAGGTCCCGGTTTTAGCCGGAAGTAGACTTCAGGTCGCTTATATTAAGTACAAAACCCTGTATATTACAAGTTTAATTTCTCCCAAAGATTCTGAATACCTTTTATGTATAACGTTTTTTGCAAATATCCATTTAGAAGTTGTTTGCTCGTTTATTATTAAATTTAAATTTGTCCACAAGGTGTCTAGAAAATTCAGTTACAAAATTTTACATCTAGTTGATGTAAAATAGAAACAAAGTAGAATGATTGGCGTTTTTGGGCAAAATCTATAACAATTGACTCACTTAAAATTTACAGAGCAGCAATGAAAATGGTCATTTGCTTTAATCATTTCCCATACTTGAGCATTGAATTGAAAGAAGTTTTGCAGGTTGTAGAGGAAACTTACTGACAAAGTAAAAACTAGTTAAAAGGTATAAAACTGAGGTTTCTCGAAATCGAAAATTTTAATCGCATTAATTTAAGCTCTGGTTGTGGATTTTGATGGTTTTACATATTTCTCATTTCCTTCTAGTTTCAATAAAAAYAACTCTAGAACTTTACCAAAATAAATATMAATTTCASAATATTTTCMATTGTCTGGTAAACCTTAAAGGAAACTATAATAGAGCAAACTCGACCAAGACTGAATTTTTTGTTAATATTAATTAGGAACAGTAAATGCAACTTTTCCGCCASATTGAGACGCAAATTACTGGTGCTACTGTTATTAATTYGCATTTCTTAATAACTGCCAGAATTGTAAATTCAATAAATCAGTATTCTATGTAATTCGCCAAAGAACATATCAACAGCCAATGCTGCTTAATGGAAATATACATATTTTAGAACAATGGATGCATGACTTTGATTTAAAACCCAACTGTAATAAAACCTTCAGGTCTTTGGACGACTAAGACCAGCAGACAAGCAAACCAATCCTAAATATATCCTGCTTTGTTTTAAATAAAAACTTCCGATTTGTGATATGTTATATTTGACTTGTCTACTCTAGAGCAGTATGTATTGTAATCACAAAAGTACCTCCATAACAATAATCGTTTAAATAAATTCCATTATTTTATTATTCAATTAAAATTATATATACAATAATTAATAAAAACAAGCGTTCCATAATATAATCTACAGGGCCTTGAAAGTATAACGTGCCTAGAGCCACATTAAATGAACGCTGCCGGCCGATGTCGAGGTCCAGCAGAGAAAAACTAAACATAATAAAATATCCTTTCACAAATAAAATCAATAATTTAATTAAACACACTTTACAGAGTTTTCATTTTTACATTTTCCGCGATAAAAATGATTTTATTAGTGCACAGAATTAAGATTCTTACTAAGTTACTTAAAGATGGCCAGTTGCTAAAATATACTTCCATGCAGAGAAATATCCAAGCTGTTGCAAGACTGGAGATTGGGTTAGATCACAAAAATATATTTTAGCAAAAAAATCATCTCGCCTTCAATACGTCGTGAGGTGTTTGTGTACCGAACTTTATTTGTTTTTCAATAATTCGTAAACACTTTTAATGCATTGCACTTTACTATAGCTAAATATAGAGATTTGTCACTCGATTTCATTTAATTCTCTAAAGCAAAAAGCTATAAAAGTTAGGTAGTAATATAGTACCTATGAGTCGTCAGATTTATTTACTCATTAAATTGGACAAACTGGGCAGTGGTTTTTGTGACATTTAAAACGACTACGTTAAATTATCACAAAAATTCAGCCAAACAAAAGCTGCCTCTAATGGAAGGTGGTAAATCTGTCCAATGGAGGGAATGGAATCGATCCGTCCATTCAACATTGAGCCACTTCAAACAACTTTATCTCAGATCACATCGTACTGTATACCGTTCACACACCTTCTTTAGTGCCACACTTAAAATTAGTTTGACCGCTCCAACTTGTATTATTATCATTAATATTATTATTAATATAGGTACGCTAACACTATCTAGATATACATTTTCTAAGGGTGCGACAGAGCATTTGGAAATATAATGTGTATTTTTTCTTAATTAGAAAATGTTGAAGCTATAGGCCTGCATATTGTCATTGTCTATGTCTAATTACCGGAAAAACCATTTCATCCACACATTTCTCTGTTAGTTGATGCCTTAAAGGTAGAGATAAAGCACAAAGATTCCAAGCATGAGATCTATTCGAAAACAAACTGCATGAAATCAATTCAAAGCATTACTGATAGTTTGACGAAACATGAGCCTACGGAAAATGTACATCTAGGTTGCTTTCGGTTGCGAATCAACCGCCTAAACATAAAATCTAGTAAAAAATCAAGAGTTAAAATGTAATAACACCAAAAATTAAATTATGTGTAAAACTTTTTTAATTAATAACATACAACAATTAATGAGAGTTGATGACTAAACATTGGGAGGGTTTCGAAGAAACCAATACACTTCTTTGGCCGCACGCAAAAGCTGTGAATAGAACAAAAAATCGAAATATTTCCGAATAAAAGAACACAAAGATTCCAAACTGGTTGTATTGGATTTTCCGGAAACCTCACAGTAGCTAAATAGGTAAATTTCTATACATTTCTCCCTCGTTTCTACGTTCTCTAGTACGTGGGTAGCTAACAATAATTTCTAAAGGCCAAAGCTGGTTCTTCATGCGTTTACAGTTCAAAAGCGATTTTATACAAGTAAACAGAAACAGCCAATTTTGATCTACATCGATTGAGATCCTCGTTTCAGATTAAAATAGACATGAACAGTTATAAAAAGAAATTGAAGGTAATTGTCAAATTCTCAAATGAAAAAAAAAAGCAACAACTAAGCAATCATTTTGCTTAGCCTTCACTATTTTTCTTAAGCTTGAAGAGACGTTTTTCACCTACCAGTACCGTTCATAAAACACATTATTTTTGCCTAAAGCCGTCATCTCCTTTGGTTTGCATTAAAGTGAATTATTATTTCCATTCTCAAGAGTCTGATACTCAAAACTACATCTGACCCCTTGCTAGGATATTTTATCTATGTCCAAAAATCAACCAAACAGCATGACGCCTCTTGAACCAAAGAAAGTGATTGAAATCTAGATTTTATTAGTCACATCGTATAGAGTGTGTTTAAAAATTTCAAGTTTAACATGGAATATAATAGGGCAACAGCAAAACGATTTTGAAATTTAGGAATTAACAATACCCCAATTTTAAGCGGACCAATACCAATAATAATCAACCCAATCAATAAAAGATGATTACTGAGAGTGCAACATTCTGTATATTGCGGCAAGTCCCAGAAGCAGCAGTAATACAGTAAAAAAAAGCAGATTTGGAACGATTTTTTAAAATTGTACGTATTTTTTGAGTAGGTAAATTGACCGAGGTATAGAACACAATGCTATTAGCGTCAAAGTAATAAAGTTAATGTCGTAGACGACCCTTACAAAAACGGAATGAAAATCCCAATTATTAAAAAGTTTGAAGTGATCTCATGAAATCCCAAGACAAAACTGACTTCTCCGACTGCTAGTGAACGTTAACTCTAGTTCCCATATCGAAAATGACATCCCTATTAACGACGAATTTCTGTGTGAATGATGAATGAATTGATATAGATTTTATCAAACTATTGCTGCGCAAAAAATAGCTGGACTATTTGGGCATTGATTAAAGTATCGTAGGCGTGATAATTAGCAAATTGGTGAAAATTGTTATTCATTGAAGAAATAAGAGCGCAAAAGTACCGCAATAAAAACCAGCCCCGGACACTTAAAATTATTATATTCATGGGTTCAATCCCGTACTACAGGCATAAAGAAAAGAAGACATAAATAAAATCAGAATGTGTTATTTTTTCGTGTTAAAATTGGGTAATTAAAAATATCAACTATGAAATAACATTTTACCAAGTTTGCTTTTCTTGTAGTAAATGTCGCGCGAACAACACACCTATTATACATACAAATTAATAATTATAATTGATAAGGATTTAGTAGAGAAAAAAAGTGAGAATATTTACACAGAAATTTGAACGGGCGCCAAACGCCCTTGTAGCCATTGGTGTTGCTTAAGAGGGAGCTTAAAAATGCCATCTAACAGTTTTATTGAATAAAGTTGGCTATCAAGGGGCCGGGCGCAAATCGCATGGTTTTGACCCTGGTAGCGTCGTCCGCAGAAAAATCGTACAGTTGTATTCAGCAATAAAGAGTGCGCGCACCCTGATTTTCCAACATGAATCGTCAAATTGCGTATCCACTAGCACTAATTGAAGACAAAACGAAGCATTGTGAAGCAGTGCCTCAGCCACTAGTCGATAGTCTCACACTGTCCTGTACACAAATACCAGCGCACGCAAGAAAAACGGTACCCAATCCGCCTAGCGCGGAGGATACAAACGCCCCAACTACTGCTAAGCTCCTCCTGATCATCGCTAAAGATACAAGCCCTGAATTTTAGGCAACGGCGGAACCAGAAGCATTTGTCAGGGCCGGATTGTCCGCAGCATGATCCAACGTGGCTCCAGCCCCTGAAGCGCTACTGTCCTGCGTTGGCCCACCTTCTGCTTGGTTTTGGTTTGATTGCATACCGCGTGGGATTAGAATGTTATTCAACGAGGATTGTATACTTAGTTCTATAAAGAAAAAAACCCTCATCAACCTCTTCACTTCTCCTTTGGCATGCATTCTAAGTAACAAGACTTACCATGATCTGTAAAATTGAAGAGGGGCGGCAACTCGTTACCACTCGGCAAGCGGGTACCTGGTTCTCGCAGTTCATTGAAAAAAGGGTGCGCACAGGCCTCCAATGGAGTAATACGAACTGACGGGGTGTATTCCAGTAGGCGAGCCACCAGCTCAATGGCTTCAGGAGGAGTGCGAGCACGAAACACCTGCGAAAAACAGGTACTTTCGGTCAAAACTGTACTGGAAACCAGTTGGTGATGATGATCGGATGTACTTTTATTAGTATGTTCGATGAAAACCAACAAAAAAGCTGTAGTATGCTCCACTCCGACGACAGCGGATATAGATTATTAGTATATGGACAAGTCACTAGTAGAGAACAGATATATCGATGTTCTGCCATTAAACAATCTGCCGCGTTTTGAAGCAACATTCAGAGGTTTCATAACAGTATTTTGCCGAACCACACTTTGACTTGCAAAAAACCAAAACACTTAAAACGCGCCCGAAATGATGCAATTTTTGAAGATTAAAATTCTCCTTGTTCGAGCCTTTGATGTTGCCCAACATTTTGTTGGTTTGCCTTAAATTCAACATGATTTCTAAGTTTCATGTTTCTTTAAACCCAAAGGAACATTATAATAAACCTCAAAAAAACCGACGAAAAGCTGGAGGCTTCAGGATTGAGAAGATCAGTTGGTTGCGATTGAAGCTCCAAATTTAACACGTTTGTAGCAAAAAAATCGAAATTTAAACAAATAGACGGTGCTTAACTTCACCATTTCGTCGGAAAAAGGCTCTTCATATATGTGGCATCTCTTAGAGGCTGGCTTAGCTCTGGCTACTTAATGTAAAGAAAACCTTTCAAATGTTTAAAAGTTTGTCGAGTTCGAAAAATAGTGGGAGTGAAGTATCTTAACAGAATAAAAGAGGAAATGCGTTAAAATTACTTATGCGATTAAATGATTAAATTTGAGGAACCATGAGACTGCCTCTGTAAGCGCTATAAATGTTTCCATGCAGTGTCTGAAACTACATGTAAAGAGATTATTCGGAAGTTTAACGACCTAAACTCGGCTAATGAACAAAATCTTTACCAATGCGGTCTAACGTCAGTTTTTCCATAGGATTCGATTTTACGACGATAAAACTAAAATAAGTTTCAGTATGTAGTCATGCATGGTATACGGATAGCAAATTAGAACTGCTCAAAGGACATATAACAGAAAAAGGTGCAGCACCCGTTGTTAAAAGAAGAAAACGCTCTATTCATCCTCACAATCTTTCAGAGGACCAAAAAAGAATAGTGAATCACGTCAAATCTTTTCCGGACGACGGAAGTTTCCAAATATTAGAGTATGTTACGAATCTTATGGGACCATTTCTATCACAGAATTATACCATAACTCGCGGTTTTCCTAGATCAGACATTTGTAGTCGGAACATATTGCAAAAATTCAAGGTCTGGAAGAGAAAAATTTTAATTTAACGACAGGAATCTAAATCTTTTGAACTCTGAAATGAACCCGTATTTCAAAATTTTCAGCACATAATCCCAAAAACTCCGGCCTTGATCATTTTAGGTGTTTCGTTTTTGCAAGCCAAGACCGAATTCAAATATCTTCCTCAGTCCATCACTTCGGCAGACAACAAATGTTCATATTAATGATCAGAACGTAATCGAAACGCGACTCATGCAAGTCCATCACAGCGTATTATTGTATGTGTTTGGGTGTGATAAAGAAAATAGAGAAAAGCGCGCCCACACTCACGTAGTGACTTACTCGAATGCGCTGATGTTCGGTAGAGCACCGCGGCATTGACATTCTACTCAGCATGTGCTGTAAAATGATAAATAGACGCGATTTCACACCTTTTTTGTTAGTTCGCCTTCATTGCTATCGAATTCAACTGCTAAACCGATCAAATCTCGATCGGTTTACGTCCGAAAACAATTACCTGCTGCCAGGGATGAGATTTTATTTGTGGGAACTTGAACTCAGTATAGTTGGGATTCATCTCTTTGATTTGGTCCTTAGTCGGTGTGCCTAAAACTTTGATAATTTCAACCAGTTGATCCACACCTGAATCACCGGGGAAAATTGGCTGGCCTAAAAGCAATTCAGCTAAAACACATCCTGCCGACCACACATCAATTCTAGTTGTGTAGTCGATTGCTCCAAATATCAATTCAGGGGCCCTGGAAATAATACGTTTATTAACATCCCTTCTGAGTCAATTAGTCCGCACTGTTTCCCTACCTGTAATATCGGCTACAAATATAAGAAACATTCAGTTCTCCTTTCACCAGATGTTTAGCGCTGCCAAAATCGCAAAGCTTAAGAATGCCCGTTTCTGGATCCAGCAACAAATTCTGAGGCTTTATGTCCCTGTGACAGATCCCCATTGAGTGGATATAAGCCAGAGATCTGAACAGTTGATACATGTATAACTGAAACAAAACACCCCGATTAAACTACAAAACCCTCATAATTGAGTAAACATCATATGCGCAATTCAGTTTTCTTTACTTTACACGATCACAAGCTCTTTCATTAAATTCGACTCATGTTTATTCAATTAATTCAATGTATATGGAAGTCTGCCAAACAAGCTCTGATAGGTTCCAAACCATAATTAGATTTCCTTAACTGTTTAGATAGGAATCTCTTCAGCTCTAATAAGTATTTATATATTTTTGGTGCCTGTTCAGTATGCGTATATTCATTCGTCCAGTTAAATTCAGCCGAATCTCAATGAATCATCATCTGAGCAATTGATATTTTTATGATTTTAATAATGTTTTCTMCATATTTGGCCAGAACTTGGAAATGTGTTAAGGAAACGTGGTTTTTTATTTCAAAAAATATCGAACAGCTAGTAAAAGTTACACACAAAGTAAACGAAAGCTGGGATTATCGATTCAACTAGGGTTTTTGCTCTGATCGGAACGGAAAAACTCCCCTGGAACGCCCCGTTATCGAAAACATCGATAATATTATTTCAAACGGCTGTCTTCTTATCGATTAAAATTACGAAAACACGAGTTTCACGTTGCGCTTAGAAACTAACACTTTACACTATTTTTATAAGTTGAGAAGCATTTGGATTTGTATGAATATCGTAAAAAAACAATTTACGTTGCAAAATGGGTTTGCGTGAGGTGCTGATGCAATGAATCAACAAAACGGTATTACACGATTCAAAAAAGATTGCAATTGTGAGATAATATCCACCAAAATCAGAGCCAGAAGCATTCAAGGAAGTTTTCATTCTAATAATCAGATATTAATAAAAACAGTGTATTTATTATTGTTAATTATATAATA